GACACTAATAAAGTCCATGCTACCATCGACTTGATATTTAGGGAACGCAACAGTAGTTTCTTAGACGATATGCTGTTTAATTAAAATCAGACTTCCCTGATTGACCATCTCAACATAAGACGATAGTTACAACAAAGCCACTTAGGATCTTTGATAAATTCCATCAAAATTAAACCTCACTTTTGGGAAACAGTGACGGCCCTGCGTGAAGAACGAGCATAGCACGTGCATGGTGTGGTTGAGTTGACGGCGCTCTATGCGTGAAGTACGTGCATGGTGTGGTTGGGTTGACGACCCTCTATGAATGAAGTAAGTGCATAGTACGTGCATGGTGTGGTTGGGTCGACGACCCTCTATGAATGAAGTAAGTGCATAGTACGTGCATGGTGTGGTTGGGTTGACGACCTTCTTTTCATGAAATACGTGCATAGTAAGTGCATGGTATGGTAGAGTTGACGTATTTAACGCACTATCATCAACCTATCTTCCACAATTTTTCACCGATTGTGTTCAGTGTAGCAAACATTCAGGCACGCATTCCCTTCCCTGAACATTTCCATTTCAGAAAGATTGTCCAAGCTCAGATGTAGGAGGCAGGAATGCAGCCACCGGGGGGAAGGGGCTGGGGGCACGTGCGTCCCCTCCCCCCATCACACACACAAATTCCAGATCCCCAGGTGCCCTCCAACTTAAAAGGGAGTGGACAGATAGCCTAGTTCACTCCCTTAAAAGGGAGTGAACTAGGCTAACAAAAGATTTCCCCCCGCAAAAAACACCCATCTGAAAGCTGGAACCCTCCATAGGATGCTGGTGCCTCCTTGTGCCCCCTCACTAACAAAATCCTAAATGCCAATGACAAGGGTCGGGGGTCGAACCCCCTTCCCCTGCTCAGAGACAGAAAAGAGAGGTTAATAGGGGAAATAACAAGAAATAACTAAAGTTAGTTCACCAATACTTTTTTAAACAATGTAGGTCATGTACAGTATTGCGTCATCATTTGCGCTTGTCCACAAAAAGGGACATAAAATATCCGGCTTGACCCCCGCCAAAAATTAATGGATCCGCCCTCTAGCTGATTATACTATGGAAGGCATATCATTTCCCATATTGACGTTTTCAGTACATACCTTGTACCTCTTCCAGGATTAATGTCTCCTGGCTCTCTAATGACGCATAAAATTGAAAACGAATTTGTAAGTCACCCAGGCTCATCCACACCAAATTTACGACAGTTCTGTGAATAAGACGTAAAGTATGACCTTGGATTGTGCTTTCAGGAGATGTTCAAGTATTGTCAAAACAATTGTCTTCAAATCCTGGACTTTTCTGGACATCAAATGAAGTTGGATTCTCCAACAGACCTCTGCTTAGTTGTGAAAACCCTGGGGAAGAAATGGGTGCTGCTGGACTCTACCAAGCAGGTATGTTCCATTGATTCTTTTAACCTTATTCTGTATATCCTTTACATTCCTCAAGATATATAGAAATTGCCATCAAATAAATATCTTTTTTTCTCATAAAGTGTTCACATTTCTGAATGCAGACAGTGTCTAAAGAACAGCTAACAGAGGGCTTTTTTGGTAAGAGTAAATGGCAGTTTCAGACAAGGCAGGACGAGGAAGACGCCAGAAGCCCTGCCAGAGATGAATTGTTGTGTGAAATAGAAATCAAGCCAAATGAAGAAAGCATAGCGTACTCCGAGGTTAATACGGTGCAACTGTCTGTCGACTTTGCTGTAAGTGAAACATTTAGGTCTACAGCAAATTACAATAAAAGCTGTAATTGTTCATTTTCCTCTCTGCAAGATGCAGTCTGATATTCATGAAAAATATATCTCATATTTATGTCAGCTCTATAGTGGAGAGGTTGATCTGTCAATCCCGCAAGCAAAGGACTGAACGGTGGTCTGAGGCGTAGCCTAATACCAGGAGTAGTCCTCGATCCGTCATTATTGAAATGATGATTAATATACAGCAAACGTTTGGTTTTTTAGAAACTGATTGATGCGTAGTACTTGGAATGGTGTTGGGCAAAGGTTGTGATCAAACTGAGCTCAGTTGGTGCATGCTGACCAGTTTCTTAGCACATGTGTGGTCTATTAAAATTTCAGAGCCTGGTGGATTTCCCTACCTGCGAATCAAACCCAGAGACCGTCACATACAAAAAGGAAGGTGTGTAAAATTACACATTACGAAACATGCAGATTTAAATGTGCCAGTTAAGCGGCAACTGCGTGGGGTTCCTTAGAAATAAGTAAATATTTCTTATGTGAATTACTTCAGAATTCCCATTCAAGTTGGTTCAGTTTTTATTTCAACATTTCAGATACGCCCACACAAACTCATCTGGATAAGTTACTGCTTGACTACAAAGAACTTGCTGAGGAGTTGGGTGAGGAATTCATTAAAGAAAACACAATGCAGCTAGAAAACTTTGCCATTGGTTACTTCAACGAAGAGGGTGGAACATTGAGCTTGAATTCGCACAAGGTTCAACTCTACATTCCTCGAGGTGCCCTGCCCTCAGACCGTAAGGAGCAAGTCTACATATATGTTGACCCCAGCGAACAGCTTGAGGACGGCAACGATTCACTGTCACCAGTTGTCAGGTGTGGTCCACCTGGTTTAAAGTTCACGGAGAGTGTCGTACTATCATTTCCGCATAGCGCAGACAGCAGTGCTGACCTTAGTGCTCTGATATGTGAAGGGACCAAAGGTTGTCCCAGTGATTGGCAACCTCTTGAAGATGTTTTAATCTCTTTCAATGAAAACAAGGCTATCTTGCTAGTTGACCACTTCACCAGATTTGGCGTAGGGTACAAATCGAGAAAGATTCACATCGCTGCAGCTTCAGATTATGTTCCGTCAAGTGGTGGCTGCACTGTTCGACTCTGCGTGTTCAACAAGTCTCCGCGAGACTTGGTAATTCCAACAGATTATTTCGAAATAGTCTTTGCTTTGGGGGATGTTAATGTTAATTACGAGTTTTGCCTTACCCGAGGCGTATTCATAAACACTGTAAACTCGATCCGACCTCGGACAAGCACTGAGTGTACAGTGCTTGTGAATACACGGAGGGTAAGAGGGAAAAACCGTACTTAAAACACACAAACTGTGTTGGAAACTTAAAATAGGTGAGATCTACCAAGTATTCTTAGACAGGAAGCGAGGCAAGCATCTGAATGACTTAAATAGGCCTAATCTTACAATTACAAACAGCGTTTGGCACGGGGCTCCATGAGTGTCCTTCACTTATTTATACTTATGTCGGCATATAGCAGAGAGAAAGGCGACCTCCCACCAGAAATCCCACCAAATCGACTTCTCAAGGTATATGATCTTGCAAAGGCCACCTCCCTAAGCGAAAAGGACGACTTGTCCACATCTATTATGTTGCCAAGTCTGCCAAGTGAAGTGGAAAGGACGATTTGTGGTAGTTACTGGTACACATCTCTTGTCTTGGCAAGTCATTCTTAATTATAAATGTGGCCTCTTCTGAAGAGGCCACATTTGTTAATTTGTTAATTAAAAAACAGGTACGTCCAAATGCAATCACTATCCATCATATGCTACCTCTGTTCATGCTAACAAGCCTGATTTTGTAACTTTAAAGTCGGGGCTTAGCCAGAAAAAAAAATTCGGCCGGCTTCTAGCCATAGCCCCATGGGACTGTGTTGTAAATGCCCCCCATGTGCATATACTAGGGATTATTTACACGAACGGTGCCTGGGACAGGGAGGGAATGTTTGTTTCTTACAGTGACAGTTCACCTGGCAGTAGCTTGTGGCGGCTGTCTTTGCAGTGTTATTTTGGTGGGGTGGGGGTGTTGTGGCTTGGCCGCGCGTGGCAAGGCCGTTGTGGGCCCCTCTCAAATCCAGACAGCCTGGGAAACAAGGGTCCTTTCTCCAGGTACTCCAGTTTCCTCCTGCCTTTAAAACTGGACCTTCTTCCTAACTCTGTAATGTGATGCTGATTAATAAAGGTTATGAATAAAGCTACAGTTATTGGCGCAAATAGCCTGAGTAGCTGAAAGCGCCATTAAAACAAAAAAAAGAAGGGCCCTCACGGTACTGGGATCTACTTTCTGCGGTTTTACTAGCTGTAGAGGCTAGAGGACACCCACAGAAGTATTGAAATACCCTTAGAAAGGAATATGGGTTCTGAAACCGCAGAAAATGTTGCGGCCTCAGCCGCAAAGCAATCCGTGAGACATAAATTAAAAGAAATTAAAACGCATTGCAGGGACAAAGTCGACGAAACAACTTACTCAGATGTATCATCTCGCCTAGCCAAGTCTGTAAGACTGGAGCACTGGTACCAACTTTTCGTGTATTGTCAAGTCTTCTTCACAATATCTTGATGAGGACTTTTTGTCGAAATGTTGCAAGGCTACATACATGTACTTGTAAGCCAGTAATACGTTCGCGTGGCTCCCCGTCCTCACGCACTGGTGAGTATTGGCAAGTTAATTTCTCAGTAAGTCATCATGTCGACTTCGCGAAGTCGACTTGGAAAAATAAGAGTTTCATTCAGACTTCACTATGTAGACTTGGCGAGTAAATAGATGTGAACTTTATCGAGAAGTCAGCTTGTCAAAATAATACGTCCCGACACGTTGCCTTGTCGACTTGGCAAGATGATACATCACGAGTACTTGTCAGATTGGCTTCGATAAGTTGACCTTCTACAAGAAGACTTTGGAAGTGATTTTTGGAGAAATAATTTTAATAGTCAGTCACCTTACTCAACGTTATATGTCGACTAACATGGTAAATTGTCGCAGTATATAAATAAGTGGATGGCAGTTATGGAGCGTCGTAGCTTAGTAGAGAAACAAAATCGTGCGATTTCTTTGCGAAGCCCGTTCTTAACGTAATCATTACATTAGGGTCTGCTGGTCCTAAAACTTATGTTCTCATCGCTGCAGAAATATTTAGTATTGGAATATGTTTACATACTTATAGCAAGAAAGAGTTTTGAATTGAAATTGTTAATTTGTGCAGCATATTTAGTATGTATTTCTTTTTCTTGCATGCTCAAAGGACGACTTCGCAGGGAAAACAAAGAAAGCAGATCTTGTGCGCCACAAAGGACATGTGTATGTTGGAATAAGGAACGTGTCAAATGGATATGAAGTTCGACCCAAAGCCCGTAAGGTAGGTTTATTGGTACAAACACCTTTGAATTACAAACTATTTATTGAAAACTTTAACCCATGGCGATAAGCACAGTCCATTCAAATAAATTCCCTTTTCTCGTAACTGCTGAATTGGTGATACGTGACATTTTGCCGTAGAGGAACTACATTTTTGATCCCATAAAATAAAAGCCGGAGTGGACATGGATTTATATAAAGGTACTTTTGCATCGTTTGTTGACAGGTCTTTCATTGGCAGCAGGTATGGACGGTGTTTAAAAACACGACTACTTTCTACTTGATCAGCTCGGCATCGACATTTAGCATTCCAATCTGCGAGGTGAACTGCTCACAGGAGGCCCTTCACAATAATCAACCGTGGAAAGGGTTTGACGTCTCCATGAAGGTGACGCCAGGCTCGGTGAGTGATATTACAAGAACGATGTTATCCCTAACTAGCATGGGCGTAAACCCGAGGGAGGGGGCATTTATCCCCCCACCCACTTTTGAGGTGGGGATGGGCTATTGAATCACCCCCCACTTTTGTGTGGTGGGCACAAATATTACTGTAGATGGTGAAGAATTTTTCAGACTTCCAAGGACTAAAATACATTCAGTATCACCCAAAAAGGAACGATTTCAAAAGCGAAAAATATGTTATTCTGAATACATGTTACAGATGTGCATTAATATCATGAACATCGACCTCTAAATAAATTAATATTGTGTCCAATTTTTATCTCATCCCTCCTGTCTTTCCTCAACCCCCCAGCAATTTCCAGCACTGCTTACTAGAGATCAAAGAATGTAAATAGATGCGTCTGGATTGTTAGTTTTCTAACAACTGCACCCGTAATCACGTAACACCTACGACAACGTTCGAATTTAGTATCTTTTTGTACATTTTTACACTTACTTTCTGAAAACGAATAATAATTAATGTAGTTAATATCACTGTTTTTGAAACTATCTATTCCCCCTTGAATGCAGACATCGCCCTCCGAACTAAATCGAGTATGCAAGGAGAACGCAACGTGTCCAAATAAGGTAGTGCACGTTTCAAGTGTTGACAGGATAAGGAATAAGCCCTATCTAGTCATTTCCGATGTAGGTGCATGCATTTCTTTTGTTTGCAATAACATTTCCAAGTCACAGTGCAGGCAGTTGATTGTGCATACCCTTCACACTATGCTTGCTTTTGTATCAAACAGTACCTGTACGTGAGCGTACCATCAACGGGTGGAATTTCAATAGCCTGGATCTACACGAAATAATTCTGCACAAATGCCTTCTTACAACTTACACACAATTATCTTGCAAACGACTAACCTAAAAGTAACCGTGATGTTTAAATTAACCATCCACAGCCAGCACAATTAGCCGTTGGACCAGAATGCAGCCCAAGTACAAGACCCTCGGATCAAGTAAGGCAGTGATGTGCTCTTTGAGGTTGTTGTAGCTTTAAATCATTTTAACCAAATATAAATACAATAATGTTGCTATAAACTCACAATGCTCTTGATCATGGAGAAGCAACATCTGCAATGCGTTTGTGTTGGCCAACGGCCTCCTGGAAACGTGCCGTGGATGGACATTGTTATGTAATCATATCTTATGTCCTCGTTTTAGTAAGTATCTAGTATATATCTTACTTACTTGACGTCTACGGCTAACATCATCATTGCCAGAAAAGATAAAGGACCCTAAATCTGAGCCCAAACCAGACCAGGTAAATCAGACCAGTATTCGGTAACTTTACACAACTATAAAACTCTTGGCTTAGCGTAGCGGCTCTTTCCTCGCTTTGCACCAACGTGGCCCAGGTTTGAGTCCCGGCTTGCAGGCTTTAAGTGCATTTGGTTTCCAGTCCATACTCGCTCTTGCAGGTTTTCTCCGGGTACTCCGGTTTCCTCCTGCCTCTAAAACTGGACCTTCTTCCTAACTCCGTAATGTGATGCTGATTAATAAAGTGTATGATTAAACGTACAGTTATTGGCGCAAATAGCCTGAGTTGCTGGAAGCGCATCATAAAACAAAACAACAACACGAAGTTTCAAGAGAACAGCGTTTTAACCTGAGCAACTTTTGAAAATTGGATTTTGGCAGCTAAACAATTTTTTTCAGCTTATGGAATATCACATTCAGTAAAAAAGCTGATAGGTTTCTCCGCTTCCACAATATTCATGTTCAGGAGAGTTTGATAAGCCAAGTGGTCAAACTGGAAAGTAATGTGGCACTTTGCACTCGTAACATCCGTTGAATAGTGAGCTGCACCAAAATGTTATTTTGAGGGTCCATGTTTTGTCAACAGAAAGAAGACATTACAAGAATTAGAATATTTGAAAAAAAATCGCAAATCGCGTAAAACCTGTGCTAGGCTGGATAGGCCCAATTATGTCATTCGTCGAAACGGTGACAACTGAAGATTGGTAGAGGTTGTCGAGCGTGCAGGTAGACAGCAAAACTGGTCTTGGGGCGAAGTAAACTCGTTTTTCCCTGGCTGTGAACTGATTTGAAATTTATTAATGGCATGATTAACTCAAATTTAAAATGTACCAACATTTTCCACTTTTTCCACTTCAAGGAATCAATGAAACGAAAGTTTGCCAAAAATGTGTTAGGGGACTACGGTGGCTTGTCATCAACTGGTGTCAGTAAACTCTGTGAACTACTTGAGGCCAATAGAGAGGGAGAGAGCTATTGGCGAGCTCTTGCTACAGATCTTTTTGGGCCGAGTGAACGGCTGATACAGAAAGCTCAACTCAAACCAAACCCTGCGAAGGAGGTGCTGAAAGTGTACTTCGCGACAAAGATTGAAGATGAAGACGCAGTGGAAAACCTCACACATGTTTTCAGACGTCTTGGATTTGACGAGGATGTCATTCGCTCAACAGAAGAAGCAGACACAGTGTCTGGTATATGAGTCATTATATGTAGTAGTACCCCCAGTAAATGCTGGAAATCTCAGATGCAGATTTATTTTTAAAAAGAAACAGCAGAAAGACTTTGGAAGGGTTGGACGTCTTTTCAAGCTTGGAGGTGTATTTGGTTTGCGTCATTAGTCGTATAGCTGCGTGTTTACCCCACAGGACTAGAACACAGGCATCTTTTATTTTGCTCCTTCTCTGTAAATCATTGCATCCACTCAAGGACAAGATGTCGTACATATATCCTGTTGAGGAAGCTGAAAAAAAATGTCAGAATTTGATTTGAGTTTCTTGATGAGTTCCCATGAGTTTCATTTATTGATTTAACAATTGGGGACTAATGTTTTGGTAGATCAAGTGATTAGTCACTGCAGTGAATAACTAGGCAAAATATTGACTGACCGTGAAGATGAATGTATGGGTTATGGGTTTTTATAAATGAGAATTGGGTAAAATACGGTAATTTAAACAAGAAGGACATTACTCTTTGCCCAACATGCGAGCGCGTTTTTCTGGGACCTATTCTGACAACTCCATGTAGAGGGTTGTCAATCCTAGAATTGACCGAACTCTACCGACAACAAGTGTCCGTGAATAATATGTCAGTCAAGATAAACTGTATAATCGTGGGCTGTTTGCCGTTGCTGTCTATATCTATTTAGGTCGATTTGGTTCCGGTCGAAATATTTCTGGCGTAAAAGCTAGTATAGAACTACATTTATTAACAAATTTTCCAAACTCCTTCTCTTGTACGTAGGAACACTGTCCAGACTCCATTCTATAACTTTACACATTCCTTCACATTTCATTTTAATGTTCCCATATTTACTTTTTTCCCCTTAAAGAAAATAGCGAGAATGACGCTTCAAAAGGGAATGTAGCGCTGCCGACGGAGTTGCCTTCAAAGGCCCCATTTTGTGCCCAGTCCGATAGTGTGTCGTCGGTAAGTGAACACCATGACCGTGTGTTATAAATCCCAGGAACTAGAATGTTTTTCTTTCAAAAGTTCAGCGTTTAATTTATAAACTCCACTCTAATTACTAATAACATGGAAAAGGGCCACAGAGCTAGAGAAGAGCAAAACTGACAGCGGGTTTTCAAGAGCCTCAGGGTTTACCATTATCAACTTTGTAGCTTAAATTTATTTCCTTTCAATTTGTATCATTTTCCAGAGAAAAAGTACAGACCATGAAAAGCTTTTGCGTCAGATAGCCTCAGAGCTAGGCGAAGAATGGGAAAGACTAGCTACAACTTTGGGAGTCAGCTCTTCAAAGATATTCCAACTGAAAGAAAATAACCGTGGAAAAATTGGGGACGCCATGTTTCAAATGTTGCTGTGCTGGCATCAAGGGGGCGGTCAGCTTGCTGACCTGGTGTCTGCTTTAGATGACGTTGGCCGTAATGACTTGGCTAATAAATTACAAGGTTGTTTACCTTATACGCAGTGTAGAAAGAAAAGAGTAAACTGGAATAAGCTGAGGCTAATGATTCGTGTTCATCTATGCAAGGAGCAACCCCCCCAACAAAAAAAATAAAAACAAAACAAGAAAAAAGAAACGAAAACTTCTTCGTAACAAACTGAAAATACAAAACGAACCCCAATTCGTCTTACATATTGCGTAGGTGACAAAGAAAGCTTTTATTTCTGTTAAACTGCTATTTGACTTTTACGACGAAGATATCTACAGCAGTAGTAATCATAAATAATCATAAATAATCAATAAATAGTAATCATAAATGTAAACCACCTGAATCAACCAGGTATCGTATTAAGACGAGAAGAAATCCCTGAGATCTGTCATTTGTGCTTGCTTTGTTCCTTTTTTTTTGTATGTTGGTTGGTTTTGTTGCAATATAATAAATTAATATAATAATATTAATCATACTTTAAAATACCACAATAATTTGTCTTTATTGCTACAGACGTGGCCAACAATACCCAAGCATTGCAAAGCACTCGATCTTCTCATGGACCAAGGCACACCCAAAAAGCATACAAGCAAGGTAAGCCATTTTTGTATGGAGAGCCCAAAGGTATCTTGCTATGTAGGAGCAAAGAGGAAGGACACAGAAGGAGTTGCAACTCGGGCACTTCAAAGAGTTAAATGATGGTCGCTACCGAGTCAGACGAATAAGAGAGAACATTCCAAAAATACCTGCTTACTGCCTGCATCTTAGCCGGACAAGTGGGGCCAGTAATAAAAAGGAACAGGAATGTGGCGGCACAAGAATCCTGGCCCAGATATATGTATATTACTTTATTTCTGTCCCAACGAGTATGGGATGGTATATGTATAAGATTAAATTATTTTTACAGGGAAAGTTTTTCTATTAAATAAAAAAGGCAGTCAATATTAGGTTATCTGCAAGAGATCTGCGAAAGACAATACAAGATGTTTCATAAATACATGTACCATTCTTCCTTCTACCTATATAACATGTTTACAGGATGAAACCAGTTCTTTTACAAATATTAAGGACACTTAAGTACACGCACACATTACAACATTTAATTTGCAGTTTCGATAATGGTTTCACCAGATTCATGCATGGTAGATGAACAATTTAGAAAACAACCCAACTAATGAACATGAAGGATGTGGGACACATACACCCAGTATTATTTAGTTTCTTAAGAACCTACCAACTACATAGCTGAGACTGGCAAATGCCAACAGCTACCAGCTGCCAGTACGGGTACTATAAACTGAAAATGTCAAGATGCTGTAAGATAAAAAAAAAGAAATTTTGTATGATATGCATGTACATTGTATAGTGTTATGTACATATCACTTCTTTATTCTTCTAGATAAATCTATCTAGAGACATATACACGTGGCTGTAATTTGCTCAAATAATACACATGTAACTGTCATATCCTTAGTGTTCCTAGGAACTTATGAAATCAAAGAAAATGTGCATATGATAACTTCATTCTTTTAGATACATATTTTACACAACTAATAATTTTCATGTACTCCAATTACAAGAATAGAAGTGTTCATATGGACAGAGCAACAGATAACCCAAGCCCTGAGCCTGATGTGTGTCTGATATGCTGATATATGCATCTCAACTTCTCCATGCATCTTTAGCTTTTTTCTCTCAATGGATTAAAACACATTGCAAAAGAGTCAAGACAGTGTGTACGTGCACGTGTAACAAGGAGGACTACTGCCCAACTCATTAATGATCAAGCTATCTCCAAATGCACCCGATGTTCATGCCATATGCGAATAAGGTATAGAACGGTTGTAATACGTTACATGTATCACACAATTTGTTAATTAGTATAAAGAAAGTTCTAACTCACCCTACAGCTGATCAAGATTGCCAATCAACAAGGTAATGGCCGTACAAGTTAGTACTCCATAAAGGGTATGTAATGTACATGTATGAGAGCTGGAGTACTAGAGACTTGAGTTGGCAAATGATGCTTGCTTCTAGGAGGCTCTGCAGCTGCAGAGTGACTCAGTTTTGAATATCTCCAGTAGTCACCCCATGCCCAACAAAAGAGGGTGGTAGAGTACCAAGCTGCACATTTTGGTTGAATGCAGGGCAGAGACAAAGTTTATTCAGATCGCCAGCATGGGTGCATGCACAGCTGCATAAAATATTGCTACTGCACACAACTGTCAAGAGAGTATGAGAATAATGCAATGGCAGAGGGCGCTCTATTCAGCATTGCTACAAGGTTTCATTCAGTACATGTTTAATGAGTTACATTTGCAAGACAGTGAAGAAACCAGGTGACTCATGGTTGACCGCTCATGCTCAATATGTGAGAAAAAAGAGAAATGTCACAGGGAAGTGGAGGGACCAGGTGACCTAAGTGGGTCGACTGGTCACACACCCATGGAGGAATACTACATTTCCATTTTACAAATATCGATCTAACAGGTTATTTTCAGTTTGGAGCAGTTAATTTTAATTACCAAAGATTCTCAAGCTTCCAGTTTTCTTTTTCTTCCATGAAGGGTTTACCGACGGAAAGGAAAGAGGGGGAGTGAGTCACACGTTAGAGGGGGCTTCTTGTCAAGTATGTTAAAAGTAAACCGCGGTATCTATGTATTACACGTATAATAATAATTCCTCAATCTATCCTGCCTCATTATCTGCATGAATCTGCCGCACCAGCACTGCAAATTTGCCAGTTTTAGACTATTTTCAACTGTGGATACCCTTTTATTTCATCAATAAACAGGTTCAGACGTTTAAAATTAAGAGAAGCTCTGGAAGGGTTTTAGTGAAACATGTAGTTGCTATTCAAAACTGAGAACTTCTTGCATAATTTCTGCTTCTTTTTGAAAAAAAAATTGTATTTTGAAAGTCGCACGTTGTTTTTCAGTATTTTCCTCTGTTCAACTCTGCTTTATTTTGTGAACAAGCACCACTCCTCTTCCATTAGCTTAGAAGCAAGCTCGACATGTAAGGCCAAAATGGTCAGCGTAGACTTGTGGGAAGGTAAGATTAAAAGGTTTTTTTGTATAATACAATGTCCCAAATCTGCCAAACTTGTTTGATTGATTGGAATCCTG